CTAGACATGAACACGTCAAGTCAACCAGTCCATGCTGAGAGTTCATTGCATCACTCCAATAAAAATATTCAAACATACTGAAAAAAATTAAAACAATAAATTTAATGATTCTAGCATTAAATCATTCTAGTGTATTTCAAGCATGTATACATTTTCATGATGATCGATGGTTGCAAATGCATCTTCCTGACAGAATTAGATTTTTTGCAAATATCTCATTTATTATTGCTATGTCCTTTATAGACTGATAGAAGGCTCCAGTCATCCATATGACCATAGAGGGCTCTGTCATCAAAGAGACCATGGACCACTTTCCTGGAATTAGAGATACTGGGGTGCAGAAAAACGTCTGTATTTACCATGGCATCAAATACAAATATTGCATTCTGCTGATATTCACATTGATTGAGGCATCCACATGCACAACATCACGCATGCAAGTTTAAATTGCACCCTATATCTGGTATGTGAAACGCTATATCTTCCCCTTCCAGGAAAGTGGTCTATAGAGGGTTCTGTCTTTCATGAACTTTATTTACCTGGCTGGGTCGGCACCGCTTAGACATTTTTCTTTGATATAATTCTGTATACCTAACGAGGTCAAGTACTGGGAAAAAAAACAAACATGAGGAATGATGTAATTTCATCATTTTGAATTGACAAACATTTTAAGTGAATGGACGTCAAAAATGGAAGTACTCTGTGAGGATACAGAATTTTAATATCGGGAAATTTTAACAATTTTTTACAGAAGCATCTCCTGTATAAATGACCTCTACTCTCTAAAATTTTATAATAGTACTGGTTCAGAATAGACTTCCTTCTTTGATTGTAGCAATGTTTACGCCACTGTACGAAAATACGCACACTCACTCGTTTTAGGATAGTGAGAATAGAAGCAAATGAAAATACCAGTTACATCACTCAAGAAGATTGATGATTCTATTGCTGGCCGGGAAAGCTGTATTTAATGTTCAATTCTATGCAATATGTCTACACTTGCGATTCTCAATTCTCAGTACCTCGAATACAAAAAGCGTTCATCTTTGGAACATTTTTTTGTGTTTCCAGCATTGCATCACAGGAAAAGGTCGACATGGTCGACATTTGCATAACTCGAGAGAAAAACTGGTTGACGTTCTTTTGAATGTGTTTAATCAGGTATCAATTTGTAAAAAGTTGCCCAAAATATGTTTAAATATTTGAGTGCAAATGTAAATCTTATTATAACTTAGAGTTTCACTTGGTTTAGTCGCTGAAACGTGAAATCAAAATGGATAGAAGTGGATAGAAAAATAAATAGAATTGATCTGAACTTGGTCCCATAACTGAACCAACACAGGAGAGAAAGAATTTTCCGAGAAAAATACATGTAGCAGTTTATATGAGCAAATAGTTCCTATTCCATTTTCTTGGCCGAACGAAGGTAGTAAGAGTTGTATTTACATTTTATTTGTTTTGAGGTTTAATACATTTGCCAACCAGTACTCCATACATTTTTATGAGTTGATGTGTTCCAGGACGTGTACAAATATACAACATAAGTTTGAATAGAAATGACAAATTTAACATCGAAAAGATGTTGAATACTGCATTTCTATAATTTTATTAGGTGAAAATACACAACACAAAGAATGACAGACATGACCATACTTCTATGATGGTTGAACTGACAGTTCATTGTTTTTTCATGGCACATATTAAGAAAACTTGAGAGTTTTGGTTACCTTATCAATCTTTTTTAGTGCAACCGAACCCTAATGGCACGACACACATTCCTGCAAATTTCCATGCATTTATTCCTGAGCTATTTTCACTCCGATTCACTCAATGATTTACTGAAACATTTACTGGACAATACTTTTTGTGTGTATTTTGTGCTAGCTACAAATTCAGACCACAAATTAAATTAAACAAGTCATTGAAAATGACACAGTCTCTGTTAAATTAAGTTCTCTTTGTGTGCTCGTCATATTAAAGCGGAGGGGTTGTCGCGAGCGTGTCCTTGAAACTTGAGTTCCAAGTGTATACAACAGATTGTTTATTTACATCAAAACATGTGTTCCATGTAGCCAAAAATGGCCAAAAATAAAAACAGCCGTTATTTGGCCATCTTTGATCTGATTATGAAACACACTGATATGTATGATGTATGTGCCAAATACAAATGAAAATGGTACATAAACTGTGGAAATATAGTAGCAAGGCCAAAAAGTCAGATGGCTGTCAATTGGCCATCCTTGACCAGATTTTGAAACAAATTGTCATGGACATGCATCCTAACATGTATAAAGTACATGTATGTGCCAAATTTGAATGAAAACTGACAGAGCACATCCAAGATACCGCAAAAAAACAAAACAAGATGCCTGCCAGTCGACCATCTTTGATCCAATTGTGAAATAAATCGTCATGGACATGTATCCTAACATGTATAATTAATGTACCAAGTTTGAATGAAAACTGACAGAGCATGTCCAAAATACAACATTTTCAAAAAACAAGATGGCTGCCAGTCGGCCATTTTGAATCGAATCGCTAAACCATTGCATGTGCATATGTCCCACATAAAGTACTAGACACATGCAAAGAATGAACGGAATCGGTCCAAGGGATTCTGAGATATGACTCCGGACGGACACACGTACGCATGCACGGACGCACGCATGGATGGAGACCGAATTATAAGTCCTCGTTTTCGGACTTCGTTCGAACCGGGACTAATTAAAAAAAGAAATGCGTATACAGACAAACATATAGCATTCTAACTCGCACACATATGTGTCACAGGCATATTTGAATGCGTTATAATCTCATGTGCCTCGTCTGTATGTTATCCTTTGTTCAACAATATAAGGTGCTGAAATCAATGAATATATTGAAATATATCAAATGTCATGGTGCTTTCAACCAGAGAGAAATAGTTCCTTAATAATGGGTTTCTCATTATTTTTCTACAATCTTGGGTGATTTATTGCAGTTTTTATATTTGAAAAATATCTACCCACTTCTAGACCAGGTGATGTGAAAAGAATTCCCATTCAGGTGGCACATAGCTGTAGAGCTTTACTATGGGAGAACATAAACATATCCCAGAATATGTCTTGATACTTTGAAAACACAATCTGTGTCAATCTTTCTGTGTACCAAAGACTCAAAAGAGAGACCAAATTTACTGTTCCCTGGGTGATGTGCCACAGACTAAATAGGGAGGCTAAAAACACTGTGCATTGGGTGTGTGAAGCCACACGTTAATAATAAACGTAAATTTTTGGGAACCTTGTTAAGAAGATTATGTTAAATGACAGGCATTATCGCAGTAATTTGATTAGAAAATACAATACAAATATATTCATGTTGTCTTTAATACTCACAGCTAAGTTTAATTCTCTTGCTCTGGTTGCTGATCTCTCCAACAAATAACTAGAATCATCTCCCCTCTCCTGCTGCAGGCGACATAATAAACCCTAAAAAAAGTAATATAGAATTACCATGACAACCAGTCAAAAGTATGTATGTAAAGAAGTTCCTTTTACATTTTTTTGTGTACTTACCAATGCGTGTTGCAGACAGACGTTATCATTAGCTTCTTGCGCCATAGTGATGGCTTCTCTCAAAGCTGCTGTTGCTTCATCACTATCAAAAGTGACAATATAATGTGATAATTTAGTGATATGAAAGAGAAGTTCACACTGGTGAACAAAGATTGAATTCATAAACAAAGATGGCGGCTCCCATATGTGAACAAAGATAGTGGCTAACATTTGTAAACAAAGCTGGTAGCTAACTTTTATAAACAAAGGTGGTAGCTAACATTTGTAAACAAAGCTGGTGGCTAACTTTTATAAACAAAGGTGGTAGCTAACATTTGTAAACAAAGATGGTGGCTAAAATTGTAAACTAGACGATGGCTAACATTTGTAAACAAAGATGGTGGCTAACATTTGTAAACAAAGATCGAGGTTAACATTTGTAAACAAAGATGGTGGCTAACATTTGTGAACAAAGATGATGGCTAATATTTGTAAACAAAGATGGTGGCTAACATTTGTAAACAAAAATGGTTGCTAACATTTGTAAACAAAGATGGTGGCTAACATTTGTAAACAAAGATGGTGGCTAACATTTGTAAACAAAGATGGTGGCTAACATTTGTAAACAAAGATGGTGGCTAACATTTGTAAACAAAGATGGTGGCTAACATTTGTAAACAAAGATGGTGGCTAACATTTGTAAACAAAGATGGTGGCTAACATTTGTAAACAAAGATGGTGGCTAACATTTGTAAACAAAGATGGTGGCTAACATTTGTAAACAAAAATGGTGGCTAACATTTGTAAAAAAAGATGGTGGCTAACATTGACTTACATGTGTCCAAATCTACAGTGTACTCCAGCTAGATTCAAAGCAGCATAGCGAAAACTATGACCAATTTCTGTAGCATAAGAATCATTGTCGTTGTCCGAGAAGGCATGTTTGTCAGAATATCGATACAATTCATGGATAGTGTTGCAGAATTCATTGATCCGAAGATTATTCAAATAACTCAAGTAATGCTACCGACACAAGAGAAAAAGAAACACAATAATTCATACTAGTACATGTAACATTATTTCCCAAACACAAAACACACACAGCAATTTCCATTTCATTAAATAATGGAATATTTGGAACAATTACAATTAATTAAAGTAACAACTGAAATTTGAAAGCAATAAAAAAGTTGATGAATGTACAGTTGTTATTTTGAAGTCAAAAAAAAAACTTTGTAGTCTTTATAGTCTTTAACAATCAAATGTTGTATCCTTAGCAATTATTAGATACTCACAGCTTCAGCGAGTCCTGCATTCCCTTTCAATAATTCTCCAATCTGTCTTTGCATCTCTTTTGGAGACAATGCTTCATTCTCATTATTACGTAACAAGCTAGCCTATGTACACAAGATATAATATGAACAAAATTAGGTATTTAACGCATGTGTCCATTTACAGGCATGATAAATACATCCTAGAATTATTATTATGCAAGCATTTTAACCAAAAACTATTCATACACATGTACTTAGTTTCATTGAAGTGAGGTTTTTGAGATATCAGAGAAACATGAAGACATATAAATACACAAAGACCTTGACACACAGACAGGATAACAGCAAAGTCATATAACACAAGTCATTGTCAGTTTTAAGTGACTGTCAACATTAGTAAATAATTATTTACATCATGTTACAGACATGATACAAAGTGGAGCACAACTACACAATAGCAACAGCATGGCAAGTAAGCATATCTACATCATAGTAACAGCATAGCCACCAAGTAGATCTATACCCATAGTAACAGCATAGTCGCTACGTAGATCTATACCCATAGTAACATCATAGCCACCAAGTGGATTTATACCCATAGTAACAGCATGGCAACCATGTTTATCTATACCATAGTAACAGCCTGGCAACTAAGCATATATATACCCATAGTAACAGCATAGCAACCAAGTGTAAATATAC